TGGCTACTCGCTATATAAATTAGGTGGACTCTGAGATTCATGTGAGAGTTTGTATCTAAGGGTTGATTGGTTAAAATGGTTGTTTTGGATTTAGGGCCCAGGCAAAACCATCCCATTTCCCCTCTTTCAGAGCAGATGTGATCTCTTCATTTCCAGATCTCTGATCTGACCTCTTCTGAGCACATACATAGTCCCAGCACCAGTGGGGTTTATTTTCTTGTCTTGCTTTCCCTGCCACCATTAATAATACCAGTTACCACTGTTGACCACTTACCGTATTCCGGGCACTTTATAAACATTGTCTTAAATACAACTGGAGTTAATGCAATGATGTAGGTACTACCGTCCCCATTTATATATACTGAGGAGTTGAGATCAAGCTACTTTCTTTGGATCACCCTATTAATAAGTGGACAATGGCACCTTTCTCCTGGCCATGTGATAAAAGTCTTCTCAGTTCAGTTTGATTTAGGTCAATAAGTTTTCAATTCTGGCTGCCTTGCTGTGTGCTGGGGATAAAGTAGTGAACAAAACAGTGCCTGTGCTCTCAAGGAGCTAACAGTGAGAGGAGAAGCATTAATCAAGAGGCTATGGTGCAAGGATTGTGGGCACATGCTCTGCACCCAGACGGGCTGAGCTTGAGTCCTGGCTCTGCCACTTTTTGGCTGTGTGACTTTGGGTACTTTATCTCCGTGTGCTTTGGTTTTTTCACCTGTAAAATAGGGATAATAATAATACCTCTATATTAGTTCATTCTCATGCTGCTAATAAAGCCATACCCAAGGCTGGGTAATTTATAAAGGAAAGAGGTTTAATGGACTCACAATTCCACATGACTGGGGAGGCCTCACAATCATAACAGAAGTCAAAGAAGAAGCAAAAGCATGTCTTACATGATGGCAGGCAAAGAGAATGAGAGCCAAGTGAAAGGGGGAAACCCGTTATAAAACCATCAGATCTCTTGAGATTTATTCACTGCCATGAGAACAGTATGTGGGAAATAGCCCCCGTGATTCAATTATTTCCCACCGGGTCCCTCCCACAACACGTGGGAATTATGGGAGCTACAGTTCAAGATGAGATTTGGGTGGGGACACAGCCAAATTATATCAACCTCCTTCATAGGTTATTGTGAGGATTAAAGCAGTTGATACATGCCAACTGCTGAGGACTCAATACATTTTAGCTATTATTATTTTTAGTGTATTCACTCTGCACCTATTACTCTTCTATACAGTCTCTCTTGCCTTTAAGCATTCATTGCTGGGCTTGTTGGTTTCAGAGCTGGTTTGGTCACCTTGAATGTGTATGATCTCTCCACTCTATTCAGCTGCTCTTTATTGGACAACTCTAGGAAGTAAAGCCAATGGAAGTTGCCACCTACTTTTGGAAGAGTACAAGGGGGCTGGTCTTAAAATTCAGGGGTCTGTGCTCCTCCAGTGCTGGAGGTGGTGGGATTTGGGTGGGTCCTGGTCCTTCTTTCTACTCAACTCTTCAGCAGAAAAATGAAGGTGCTCTGCCCAGTGAATTTTTAAGGGCTCCTCTGGCTTGAAGGTCTGATTGTTGGATATTGTCATTGTGAGAAAGATACACAAAAGATCATCAGAGAAAGTATAAGACAAATATATAGTGCTCATATGCGTGGTATCAACAACAACAACAATAAAATCCACACAGAGAGAGTGTGGAGGGTTAGAGGTCAGTGTGGGCTGATGTTTTCAGGAAGCCTCATAATTTCTCTGATAAACTAAGAGGGTAGACTAGATCATCTCTAAGTTTCATTGTGCTACCAAAGTTTCTACAAGCCCATGATTTTATGAGATGGACCTTATTGCAGTATTAAAAGGCAAGTTGGATGTGAGTTGTTGAAGAGAAGTTGAGGATGGCAAGAGAACAAGAGGGCAGAGAGCAGTCCTGGTCATAGCCTTCTCCCAGCATGAGACGGATCAGGCACCACACTTGGTGAGATAAAAAGGCCATGACCTTTTATCATGGTTATGGAAGGACCATGACTTTCAGGATCTCTGGCTTAGGCCAGAGGAAGGCAGGACCTGACTTTCAGGATTTCTGGCTTAGGCTCAGAGGAGGCTGTGATGAGTCTGGAACTTTGATGGCAGTGATGGCCTAGGAGGGAAGGTAAGTAAGAATTTGTGAACCTCTGTGAGTGAAAAAACCCATAAACTCAAAGTGTGTTTGTCTATTCTCTTACTCAACACAACAATCAATACAGACAAAAGACTTCTGTGACCAAATGTGAAGGGTTTCTCCCCACCAACAAATAAGCAATCAATTCTGTAGCAGACACCAGGTAGGTGTCCTCTAAGGACACCCTGTATCTAAGGGTTGATTGGTTAAAATACTTTTAGGATTTAGAGCCCAGGCAAAACCATCCCATATCCCCTCTTGTCAGAGCAGATGCGATCTCTTCATTTTCAGATCTCTTATCTGACCTCTTCTGTCTACTTGGAGACAGCGTCAGATCTCACAGGGTGAAGACTCAGTCCCACCAGACTGCTCCCCTACCCTCCGCCTGCTTCAGACACCAGTCACAAGTCCAGGTCTCCAAACGTCTGACCAGCAAGCTTCAAGTTGGGGTTCCCACGACTCCCTCTTTGGGTTCAATTAATTTGCTGTAGTTGCTCGCAAAACTCAGGGAAACACTTATTTACTTGTTTATTATAAAGGACATTACAAAGGATACAGATAAGAGATGCATAGGGTGAGGTATGGGGGAAAGGTGCAGAGTTTCTGTGCCCTCTCTGGCGGGCCACCCTCCAGGAACCTCCATGTGTTTAGCTATCTAAAACCTTCCCGAACTTGTCCTCTTGGGCCCTTTATGGAGACTACTTTGCACAGGCATGGTTGAAGCATGGACAACCGTGTCAAAATATGTTGGGCCTCTCTGCAGCATTCTCCCCTCTAGGGTGTGAGGCAGGATCCTCTGTGGAGTGAGGGTCTCAATCACAAAGGCACGGGAAGATTGGAGTCTTGCTTTGGTCTGGTGAAAGGCGGGTAGGGGAAGATCAGAGAGAGAGATTGTGTTTTCTGAGGCCTGCTTCTGAGGCCTAAAGCATCCCAACATCATAACAAAAGGCTGTGAGTTATGAGCCAGGAACTGTGGGCAGAAACCAACATATACAGATATCATAATATCATAGCCTCATTTCTAAATTGGAGGCGCTGTCATCCAGTGGAGCCAGACAAATGTGGGTTTCAAAGGCTCTTCTTCCAAATTATATCTAGATAGTGGGGGAAATGATTGGAAATCTCTGAGACTTAATTTCCTATGGAGAAAATGGGGATTAGGTACACCCCATGGTGCTATTGTGAGAATTCAATAAAATATGTTGACCATAGAGTAGAGATTTAATAAATAACTGTCTTTGTGACTCATAAAGGCAATTTTGGATGTTATCAGATTTTTTCTGAAGTCTGGGTCACTTGCTTGGTAAGAGTTTTTTATTGGGAAAAATGAATGTCTTTACTTACTGAATAATATTAGTCAGATTATTTCCCCTGTCTGTGTCTCAGTTTCTTATTCTGTAAAATGGAAAACAGTATTTATATTATAGGATAATTAAAATCCAGAATCCAGTATCTTACTACATATAAGGAGCTTATAACAGTGCCTGGCATAGAGCAAGGGTTCATTATATGGTGACTCATTATTATTCTATTATTATTATTATTATCATAATCATCATCTTATTGTTATTATTTTCTTATTTGTCAGCAGAAGAATACAATGAAGTTCCCCAAAACAGTCTCAGATATTAAAAATTCCAGATGTTGGAAAAGCTTTGTTGACTTAACTTAGACAAGAACTATTTAATAACCTGGGAAGATAGACAGGATGAAAATGTGCAGATTGCTCCTTGTGCAAATTGCTGTAGCTTGGAGCCCTGATGAAAGAAAGGCACTTGCCACTAAGAATTAAATTTGTAAGACTTCTCCTTCCCCTACTTCCCTAAAACCAGTCAGCTTTCACATAATCTTAGGACACCTGCTACGTACTGTCAACTCAGGACGTGGCAAGGCTGCCATTTCACCTGTTGTCATGATCTGACTCTTGTGAATATTTCCGGGGACTCACACTGAGATCCTCAGTCACAGAAAGACCAACAGGAACCTTAGGGACAGGTAGTGTGGTGAAGAGCAGGGCTTGAGGAAATGTGGCCTGTCAGCTTGTTCTGTTGTCCTGCTCATTGATTTAAGATGGAGGAAGCTTGCTTTATAGAGATCTGCATGTCAGCATCTCTTGAAAGATACGATCTAGCAACAATCAGCTGGAGTTGAAGGCATGGTCTCACAGTTCCACATGCCCTACCTCTCCTTATTGCCTTTTGTCTTGGCCCACTTCACCATTGCATGTTACCTGCCTGTACTGCAGGCATTTATGTTCTCTCTCTATCTCCCACCACTCCCACGAGAACACTCTGGGCTGAGTCATCCTCCCTTAATGTGGCATACTCCCCGACCCCATTACTGAGGGGCTTGCCCTTGTGATTTGCTTTGGGCAATGGGAAGTTAGTAGATGATGTAAGAAAAGGCTTTAAATGTGCTTTGGCAGTAGAGCTGTCTGGGGGCTGCTCTTGCCCTGAGAAGAGAATCTTGGCCATCATGGCCCAGCTAATTCACAGGTAGATGCCTGGGAATCCATAATGGAGGTTTTACATTGCTGAGATTGATGGATGTTTGTTATGCAGCAGTAGCTGATTAATACACTGGGTTCTAATACAAGGTCCACCTGTAACTCTCTGTGTGACTTTGTTCAAGCAATTTGATTTTTCTGGGCATCAGTTCTACATCCTCTGATCTTCAAAATGGGTAGAATTAGACACTATTTTGTCAAAGTACCCATTGGTTTGTAATAATCTATTTTTAAAATAAGGACTGAAGTTCTAAGGAATGGATACTGTGAATTTTTCCTCTACCCTACATTCCTTTTGAATTCTATTGTTTGGATGTTGCCGTTAATGTACATATATTTAATTTGATAGTTTATTCTACATGCAAGAACTAAGAAGAAAGAGGGGAAGAAAGAGCTAACATATATTAAGCACCAGCTTTGGATTAGATGTTTTACAAGTGGCATGTACTTTAATCCTCGGCACAATCCTATGGTAGGTTTGATTATTCTTGTTTTATAGATAAGAGGATCAGTGAGGTCACGGGTCCCACCTAAGTCCATCCAGCTAGTAAATTGCATGCTGAGATTTAGACCTAGGTCTATTTGTTTGCGATAATCTTCTGTAATAACCTAAAATTGAACTTCTTGCTTATCCTCCTGTTTGTTTTCTTTTGTCACAGAAAGTGCTCCAGGTGCCTGTGGTCCATAGAATGGAGTGAGTCTCTAAGCAAATCTGGAGGGACTCTGGCAGCTGAAGATTCAGAATATCTCCACTTATTCTTTCCGCAGCCTTTGCTGCTCAACTGTTGGGTGCCATGATCGTATGAGCTGCTCCCTTCCTCAGCCTTTCCTGGTTCCTTCCATGAGCCCACTGATCTGTGGCAGCATTTTAACAGCCTTGGTCCATCTATTTGTAGAGGTGTTAGCATGAGACACACAAGGATCTGGAAACTTTGAAGGAGACTGATACCACAATGCAGGAACCCGATAAGGATTCCAGGGAGGTAACACACACCAAGGGATTGGCATTTAAATTATCACTCTTCCTCTTCTTTCTCTCAATCAATGAGATTTGTAGACATTATCTCATTTTAAATATTTATATATATTGATATGGCACAATGGCCCCATGAGGTTGATATTATCATCCCCTGCCCTCTTTTTTTCTAACAATGCATTGGAGCATCAGACTTTAAGTCAATGATTTGAACCCAGTTCTTCTTGGCTTCAAAGCCTAGGGGCACAATCACTCCACTGGACCACTAGGTACCTGCAACTCTCTGCTTTGGACTTCTCCTGAGCTGCAAAACCCAGGTATTATTAGAGCACCATCAGTGATAGATTTTCATGTATATGCATGTGTTTCTACCCAGCAGTGCAATTAATGAGCCCTTAAGGGTATGTGTGTAGATGACATGTTCTTTACTCCCTAGGAACAATGTAGAAAGCCACCAGGACACCAAATTTCAATGTCTTTGCAAAGGACTAGGTCACAACCTCAGTGGAGATTTTTTTTTTTCAATTTTTTTCCTTTTTTTCTTATGGTCACATTCATGCTATGGTTTATTTGTTTATTTGTTTATTTGAAACAGAGTCTTGCTCTGTCACCCAGGCTGGACTGCAGTGACGTGATCTCAGCTTACTGCAACCTCCGCCTCCCAGGTTCAAGTGATTCTTCTGCCTCAGCCTCCCGAGTAGCTGGGACTACAGGCGTGTGCCACCTCACCTGGCTAATTTTTGTATTTTAGTAGAGATGGGGTTTCACCATATTGGCCAGACTGGTCTCAAACTCCTGACCTCATGATCTGCCCGCCTCGGCCTCTCAAAGTGCTGGGATTACAGGCATGAGCCACCGTGCCCGGCCCATGCTATGTTTTAAGTTTGAACAGCTCCTTTGCATCCATCATTTCATCTGATTTTCCTTATCACTGATAAGACAGACAGAGAGACATCATTTTCAATTTTCAAGGGAGGAAACTGACACCCGAAGAGGCAGAATGACTTGCCTGGGTTTGCACAGCTACTTTTGAGAAATACTGCAAAGGAGATCCAAATCTCCCAGTCTGTCTAGAGCTCTCCTCCAGAGCAAACAGCAACTCCAAGTTAGGGTTGAGAAGGAAAACTCTGGTAAAAGGATGTTATTTTCTTTTTCTTTACTCATTTCTCTCAAATTTCCCAAGGATTTCTCTTCATCTTCTCTTTCAAACCCCTCTTTTTATTTAAAGGAGCAGCATGGCTCACTGGCTGGGTAAGAGCCTGGAGACCAAGAACCTGAAGACCGGGGTTATGATGGTGATAATGATGATGATGATGATGGTTATGATGATGCTTACTTTGTTACCTTGTATAAAGCCCAGATATCCTCCAGAGTTCAGCTTTCCGTGAGGAAAATGAAGTCAGTAACCAAGAATACTCATCGGTGTGCTTTGAGATTATACACCCATGTTGAGTGCTAGAGGCTGAAACTGGCCTAAAGAGGTTTAGATTGAGACAAATGAAAGGAAGAACAGAAGAGGAAGCACCCTGCTCTGTGAGCCCATAACCTCTTTATGTAATAATAGCTCACATTTACTAAGTGCTATGTGTGTTTCAGTTTTAGATTCTAATTGTTCATTGCTACTTTATAGGAAAGCAGTTGACTTTTGTATATTAACTTTGTATTCTGCAATTATTCTATAATTACCTACTAGTTCCAGGAATGTTCCTGTTGATTCTTTGGAATTTTCTACGTAAGAAATCATGTTACCTGTACATATAACATATATAAACAAAGTGCTTTATATTTATTTAATCTTCATAAACAATGCTAAGAGGTTGACTTAATTATTCTTATTTTATAGATGAGGTCACCGAAATACAGAGAAGTTCATAATTCAACTAAGTCTATGCAGCTAAAAGGTGGCAGAACTACAAGTTGAACTTGGAACCTGACACAGGACATTGCTTTGCAGGATTCACATTTGCCACCACCTCACAGGTATAAGGGGACATGATATCTAAGTTTAATTACTAGGCCCAATTCTTCACCCTTCCCTGGATCCGTGCCTCTGCAATGTAACTTAGCAGGGCTCTCCCGCTATAGGTAGGTGTGGTTCTCAACCCTTTGATTTGGGGCTCTGTCATGTGACTCACTTTGGCTAATAGAAAAAGACAAAGTGATGGTGTGCCAGCCCTGAGTCCAAGCCTCAAGAGCATTGGCATGTCTTTCTGCTCCTTTGTGCTGCTGCCATTGGTAGGAGAAAAGCATGCCTGGGCTAGCCTGCTGGCCCCCAAACGTAGAAGGATGAGCGAGATCTTTCTCTGTGGATATACAGCTGAGCTATATCCCAGCGAGGTTGCTTCCACCAGGACATTCTAGAGTCAGGTCTAGAGGGGGTCCACTTCTCCTCCTACCTCCACCGGCCACAGGTGGATGAGGGACCCCAGCTGAGATCAGCCAAACTCCAGCTGATCCCCCAGACCAGTGACAAATAGATGTTGAGGTTTTGTGGTGGACTTTTTTTCAGCAATAGCTAACTGATACTCGTGGCAACTGTGAAAAGAGCAGAGTTTTTGAATCAAACATGCTTTTAAATCACACTTGTACTGGTTATTAGTTGTGCAATCCTGAACAAGTTACTCAGACTCTTTGAACTTCAATATTCTCATCACAATGGGGACAATGACATCTACTACTAGAGACATTGTACTAATGAGATAAGCAGAAGCATTGACTATGGTGTCTGGCACAGAATGTGTGCTTAATAACCATGGGTGTCCTCATTGTCCCAATTGCTCTTATCACTCTGCATGTAGTGCTTATCACTAAGCATTTCGTGTATATCCATGTTCATAGACTGTGGGATGGGCTCTATGCACAGTGAATGAGGTTAATGGTCACTATCAAAGTCACATGGAGCTTGGTGGCAGTGGCCCAAAGAGGAACTGTGTCTGGAAAGTCTTGATAAGAGGGGCTAGGAAAGGATCTGGCCAGGCAGACCCTGGGGCCAAAGCAGAAAGCACTCTAGGGCCATGGCAAGACTCAAGTTTCTCTGGATACTGGGGCATGGACCTGCATTTTGGGCAGAGATTTAGATGATTTGGGAGAAAAGACAGTCATTGGAACTGGAGTATCAACTCTGTATCACAATCTATTGACACAATAATGCCATGTGACAAATCACCTTACAACTGTGGTTGAAAACAAGAAACATTGATTATGGACCATGAATCTGCTGGTCACCTGGGAGGTTCTTCTGCTTTCAGATGGGCTCATGTAGTTTTTGCAGTCATCTATGTGCTTGGCAGGAAATCTGTGGATTGTGGAAGGGCTCTCTCTTTCAGCTTAGTGGGCTGTAGGCTGTCTTCTCATCTGCAGCAGGCTAGTTTGGGTGTGGTCCCACGCTACTTGGGCATGTTCTCATGGTGTGACAGAGGTATGAGAGGGAGGGAAGTGGGGGACAGAGAGAGAGAGAGGAGAGAGAGAGAGAGAGAGCGAGAGCGAGAGTGTGCAGAAGTGGACAAATCCTCTTTAGGCCTAGGCTTCTATCACATTCTGTTTGCCAAAGAAATTCACACAGCCAGCCCAGATTCAAGGAGGTAAGAAAAATGGACACCATCTTTAGATCTCTGTGTGTGTGTGTGTGTGTGTGTGTGTGTGTGTGTGTGGTCGGGTGGTGGGGACTTCAGTATCCCATTGCAAAGGGCATAGATACAGGAAGGCCTTTATTTGGGGGCATCACTACAATCAATCTACCATAGCTCATACCTGGAATGGCCCAGTTACTAGGTGAAGGGATTGAGGTCACAATAGGAACAGCGGCCAGAATCATTGATTTTGGGTCACCAACCGCTGGCCTAGGCTCATAAATTTCCCGTGATCAGGTCTAGGATTGGTAAAGAGCTGGTAGAAGATAGACATTCTGAGTTGAAGGCATTGGGCAATGTGGGGGGTAGAGTCAGGCGTATTGATATCCAAGTAGAGCAGGAACCACAAGGAAATAAAGTGTTAGCAATGGTGTGTAGGCAGCCGGGGGACAGTTCTTGTGTGATGAGAATTGTCTGCCAACAAAACTGTGTGGTGGGATATGGAATAGCATTATAAACCCCCTTGCCCCACTCTACCAATTAACTGGCAGCAGAATCTATGTGAGAAGTAGGTTTCCTTTTGAGAATATGAAAGGAATACATGAGAATCAAGAAAAATTGGTCTAAATCAGAAACATTGAAAAACAAAATAAATCATTCAGTTTAATCAGCCAAAGACAATCACTGTTAACACCCAAATACATTTCTCTAACCACCTTTTTTCTCCTGCATACATATATGTTTATACATATTACACCCATTATAAATAAGCATTTAAAAAGCTACAGTCTTCAAGGGGATTTGCTTTTATGTTCTGTTTGTTTTTGCAGCTTCAGAGAACATAATCTTGACTAAAATAATTTCAAGTATCCACATATATCTATTTAGAATAAGAAAGGTTTTGTTTTGTTTGTTTGTTTTTTTGACACAGAGTCTCGCCCTGTCACCAGCTGGAGTGCAGTGGTGCAATCTCGGCTCACTGCAAACTCCGCCTCCCGGGTTCAAGTGATTATCCTGCCTCAGCCTTCCGAGTAGCTGGGATTACAGGTGCACACCACCATACCCAGCTAATTTTTGTATTTTTAGTAGAGACGGGGTTTCACCGTGTTGGCCTCGATCTCCCGACCTTGTGATCCATCCACCTTGGCCTCCCAAAGTGCAGGGATTACAGCCATGAGCCACTGTACCCGGCCTTGCTTTCTATTTTTAAAGGTAAAAATAACAGAATGACTTAAACCAAAAATCTTCCAGAATAGGAGATATACAAAATTCAGTCATAACATCCACAGCATAAAAAAACACCAAACAGTGGATTCCATTATTGATCTCCAGCTCCCCACACTAAGGAACTGGTGTGAGTTCTTGGCCAGTGAGGTTGGCAGACCTATCCAAGTTCAGGTCTGGTTGGCATCTGTGTCTTTGAGGATATGCTATGCGGACTCTCCTGAGAGTTCCACATTGCTCAGTGTGGAAGACTGGAGTGTTGGAAGATCTGGCTCTTGTTTTCAGACCTTTTAACTGGCACGAGTTCCCTGACAGTCATCATGTAGGCACTTGCTCCAAGTTTGTTTTGGGAGTTAAATCTTTATCAGCCGGTTTCCATGGACAATATTGCTTCTTCAGTGTGTCTCTAATGTGCCGTCCCTCTGAGTTCCCTGTTGTTGAGAGTGTTTGTGTGTCTGCGTTGCTAGGTTTATGTTTCTCTCTCCTTCTCAGTCTCTGTCTCTTTTCATGCCCTGGGCAACCTTGTATTCTCTGTGTGGGGTCCCGGTGGCAGAAGGGGATGACAAGCTGTATCAGTAGCAATGGGCACTTAAAATCCAAGTGCAAGAGCCACTTTCAGTTTGGATTTCAACAGCACATTAACCCAATCCTTTAAAACAGTTCCAGTACTTCCTGCACATCACCAATAAACACCTCCCAAGATGCAGTAATGGAGCATGTAACATTCCTCCTACTCATTTCCCAGCCTTTGTCATAGGCATACTTTTCTTGTATAGTTGTGCCCATATTGCCCATAAGTCTTGAAATCCTACTTCACATAACATTATTTTAGCAGTATTTCTCTGAGCTCTTACATATTCTAAGAAAGTGCCCTTTATGATGGTCAAATAATATTCCACTACATGAACCATTTAAACATGTTAATTCCCTTGTAATTGAACATTTAGCTTGCTCTTAATATAACTAGTACATATAGTGAACACTTACACATACAGCTTTTATCTTTCTTTCCGAATTTAGGATCATTTCCTTGGGATAGATTTCCAGAAACAGGATTATTCAGAACAATAAATGTATGGTCATTTAAAAAAGACTTCGGAAACAGTCTTCTAAATTACTCTTCCAAAGGTGTACCAATTGAACCTCCCACTGGCGATGGATCAGAGTGACCGTTCACTGCCAAGAGGTAGCGTTTCCAGTAGTTCCTTTGAACAATGGAAGAGAGCAAGCCCAGGGAGCTTCAAAGCTGTTTCAGATAAAAGGCATGATTTGAAAAGGCAGATAGTTGGCAGACCTTGTAGCCGGGGGTGTTTAGCTGGGGAATCGTAATGCCAACAAGCCAGGGAACGAATTTTGTGGATTTCACAGGATTTCAGGTGTTCTACTCTCCCAGGTTCAACGTGGTTCCCGGGAACTCCTTGGCCATCGATGCCCAGCTCAATTGCCCCCTCCTCTGCAAAGCCGTCCTTGGCCCCAGAGTGAACTTGAGGAAGGAATTCTTCTTTTGTGTTCCCTTAGACTCTGAATGTTGTAGTACTTACCACACAGTACTACATGTGTACTTGAGTTCTCAGTAGCCCAGGGGCCTACTTTAGGCAGGGACCGAAGTGCACTAATTTCTTTGTCTTTTACAAATTTCACTTTACTGCCTTGCTCATGGTAGAAGTTCCTAGAGATTTGTTGGTAGGATGGATGGACCACATGGGCTCTCTGTCAGCTTGACATGCTCCATCCAAGTAGCTTCCCTGACCTTCCCTCACACACGGATTTTCCATCTCCAAGGCAGTGGCTTGAATGACAAAAAGGAACCATCTGGGGGGAAAAGACTGAAAATCAGAAAGTTCTAAGCAGATGGATCAGCCAGTACAAAGGACCACAGAATGCTACCAGCCTAGAATGTTTGGGAAATGCAAAAAAGAATGATGCAGTTAAATTATGGTACAAGAGAGGAAATGTGTTGAAGGATGAGGTCAGCAGAGCCCAGATGATTGAGGCCCTCATGAGTTAAAGGAAGAAGCATCAATTTTATCCCGACGGTGACAGAAAGCCAGTGTAGAGTTTTAAGTAGAAGAGGGTGTGATTAGATTTACCCTAAAAAAAATACATCCGTCTGCTTGCTGTTCAGAAAGTGGGTTATGGAGAGAAGGGGGAAGCTCTGGGGAGACCAGTAAGCAGGGTCTGACCGGT